ATACCATAAATTTGGTATACTCGATAAAAATTTAAGTAACCTACGATACCAGAGGATATACTATCTTGGTTTTCCTATTTTCAACTAAGTAACTTTTGTTTATAAGAGTTATTTTTATATTTCCATAGCGTTTCTACTAATATTTCAGCACTATTATCAGATTTGATGGTTCCCCAGAACATTTGAGTTCATCCAGGTCAATCTAGTCCTGAGAGACATACACGTCTGCGACTCTAGGGTTATGTGGTCAAATGGTGGTATTTTTCGAAGTTATAAAGACCAAGAAAGTGTGGCCACCGGTGGTAATTTTCGTTTCTTGCCTGCATGGTTTGGGACCCATTTAACGTTTTAACCCTACTTAGGGCTATAACGAATTCATATGCCTAATATTCTTCTATTTATACTACAAACTTGTGTAAAATGTTTACTACACGATTTAACAGCTCGGATAAGTCAGTGGGTGGAGTTAGAATTCCGTACAGCTTTTAAATTTACTATCACATTTAATCTATGGCCCATTATTGCTATTTGATGCAACTCTATGAATGCATAATTCAGCCGATTAGTTCCAAATGTTGTTAAGAGTAGTACTCACAAGTGGTCTTTGAAAAATATTAAAAAATCAAAAAGATTTTGCCCTGTTTCTCATTTCATTATATTGCGGATAATGTGTTAAGACGGCATTTAAGTGTAGTCGCCTTACCGTTTGATTGAGTGGCGGCAGTTTGAGTGGAGGAGAGGTTTCGCAACAGGGCTCTAAGTTTCACAGCCTGCGTGTATACAACCAGATCGGAGAGCTGGTAGGCGATTTGGTTACTGGAAACCTTAATGGGTCGTCGCAGTGACGTCACTGGAGATGGTGTGATAGTTGTCTGGGGCAAAAGACTGGTCGATGTCGCCTTGACCACGGCAGCAGCCGAAGTTATCACTCGTCTTCCTAGGCTGCGAGTCTGAAAGAAGCGCTCCCTGCTTGCCCTCAGGAGGCCTGGTAACTGAGAAATGGGCTCTTGTGACTTGTCCAAGCCTGCCACTTGCATGCTTCCCTCTGTTGGGAAGACAGGAGAATTGGACAGGTCAACAACCTCTGGAGACTGGCGTCGTGCTCTCGAGCAGGTAGTGCCATCTTCCAGAATGGCGCAAAAGGACTCTTGTTGATGGTTTTTGGTTGAGGAACAAAAAATGCCGTCACCTTCGGTGAGCAAGCCTTCATCTCGACTTTTCAAAGCCATGATGGATGTTGGGCTCAGTCGACTTGTTGCTTCTTTGTTGGACAGTGCATACATCAGAGGAGAAGCTGGTTTCACGACCAATTCAGGCGACGCCTCGTAAGGATTGCGCATACCAGATGCTCCTTCTCTGGTACTGAGCAGTGCAGAGGGATACTGCTGGTCTGGCAAAGAGGCTTAATGAAAAGTATAAAAATTGTCTTAAGGTTTCTCGCAAATAATTTTAATATACTGAACACGTGTTTTTCTGTGATAACATTTTATTAATTAATTGATACAATTTTACTCAATGGCTGATGCGGCTGGAGCTACTTATGAAGACCCTATTTCTAAGGCGGTTAACGTTTTTTAAAATGAACGGAGTAGTAACTCTCTGATTTAAACACTTTTATGAAAGATAAGGCTCGTAATATAAGAGAAAATTACGTTAAAATGATAGTATTACTGTCAAACGTATATAAGCTACTTGGGCATTAGGATTTTTTACACTTGATGTATTCCACAAGTAGAGTATTTTTAGCAAAGATGTTGCCTTCACTTGGAAACCGACAAATAAGGAAAATATTAATTCAAACCTATATACTATGCCACGCTTATGAAATACTCTCTAAAATTTATTAAACCAAAATTTGGTACCGGATTGTAGAAAATCTCTAATAATTGTAATAATATAAAATTGAGTCCCAGTAAGTGACTAAATGTATAAAAAGGTAATCCTTATTACTAAGGAGTGCTTTTGGTGCGTATAGTTCATGATGAAAAAAAGAATACTTTTCCTTCAGTTTTACGTCATCCATCAAGGGTAAACGAAAGATGATGCAACAAATGAACGTATTTTCGATACTCAATGGCCTCACTAACAAAATCGTCAACGAAAACTTGTAAGTTGCCTGAGCGTACGCACTACAAAGACAAACTGTTGCCTGTAGGATCCTTAAAAGCATGTTCTCTCTTTTTAATGGCAAACGTATTGAACCTTGAGTGCGACTATCTCAGGTCCAAATTCAGTTGAAGATAATAGTCCTAGAAAGTCAAACATGTGGCTTAATGGTTCCATGTTGTGAAATACTTTTATGAGAAGTAAATGAAAATTGACATCATGAAGTCAATTATTCACAAGTACTAGTGGCAATAAAGAATATCGATTCGCTTAACTTCTATTATCACAATGAACCGTTAATTGAAAGAAATAAAAGAATATCGTTTTTAATAATTAGCTTAACATTTTTGGTACCCAATTAAATATAATTTAATTTGCAAATATAATGGATAGACACATTGAATTTATTTCAAATTATAAACCCTCGGTGCAACACCTTATTAAATTAAATAATCCATATTTACTGTATGTACTCGTGCGACGAACAAGCTCCCAGTGAAAGAACTTCAAAAAATCTAGTTATTTGAAACTAGCTCTCTGAATAGATAGGCAAAATGTGACTCTAAAGTTCTGTAAGTATTCATTTCGCATGAATAACTTCACTGAGTACCAATTGTTCTCTTTAATCAGCCCCTTCTTGGCTTCGGGAGAAGAAAATCTCTAACCAACAGTTTTAAAGGAGGAAAAATTATCTTCGTCACCAACAAGATGCCTAATCTTATTATAATTAACTTTTATTAATAATATTCACCAAAAGCCATTTTAGGGCGTCAGATTGATTTTTATTACCCAAATGTGTTAGGCTAAATCAACCAGAATTATACTTTTTTAACGTAAAGCCGATGATTCGACCTTTCGTTTGGTTGCATTCAACTGTCTGATGCTGAACTAGGTACGTCCCACAAGATTTCCCTGTCGTTCCGACAAAATTGCATAAATGAGGTCACACCAAAATTATAAAAATGATGGTTGATTAAAAAAATGTTATCTTTACTAAGGCCTTATTCACACAGTCCAACCAACTAAGCTTGCCCCCCTCCTTCTTGTTTTTATCCCATACATCTACAGGCTATTATCAGGAAATCAATTAATGTTTAGAATAGATAGCGTAGCTGTGCAGATATACCCATTTATTAAGACGCCTCAGCATGTGCATATCGTTAAATTCCAATCGCCCAGGGAGATATTTCAATAAGCTTGAGTAAATGAGTCGTAATATTTTATGTCTAACGCATGGATTCGGGTCGTCTGTTGGAGGGAAGCCAATCACATCGCTCAATGTCTTTTAAAGGAATTACTCTTGATTCGTATTGCTAGTTGATTCATTATGTATTCCTCTGTGTGAAAAATTGTTCTCTTTTAAATGGAAGTGCACTTCTCTATCTAAATACCGATTTAACTGAACCTAAGAGTTCGTTCCTTGGCTTAACCACTTTCAACGATATGCTCATGGGGTGCATTTCACACGAGTATATTGCACAAAACATAGCAAAAGGTATAGCAACTGGCCCTATTTTATTTTATTCTTAAGATTACATGCATTCCAACGTTGCTTCTTGGATCGGAATAACGTTCTGGCATGAAAATTTGCTTTCGAATTAAAAATTTGTCTCTACAAAAGAAGCAAATGAATGTCACAATACTGTTTTTGCACGCTATTCATAGATTTTTTCATTAGGTTGTTTACAATTTATGCTCAATAAAATAAGGAAAACAGCGATTAATACATTTTGGTATCTTTCCATAGTTTTGCTTGATACACCACATTTCATATGCTGCTATCTTTCTCTCTGACAAAATTTCTCTTAGTCCGATAAGCAAATTGATAATATTTGTTTTTTTTCAGTTTTTTATGATTGGTTTTATCAAGAATACCTTTTAGGAAAGCAAGACTATGTGTAATTTCATGGAAACATCATGCCTATTCATATCCTTGTGGAAAATGTCAATTAACAGTTCCCATGTTACCCTAAACAAAATATGGGTAATATACCTTATATAACGGAAAAAAGTACATGATTACATTCCGGTCCTTCTACCATAAAACAACTGCTATTTACAGCGATTGCTTTGAAAATGCAGCTAACTTGTCAATAAGGAAATAATACTTAATAAAAAATAGCAAAATCTTCTGAGTTACCATGATAATCCATTGGCTCTGATAAAAGATAAGCTGAAAGCTAATTTACTTACCTATTTAACAAATAATGGAATCTTCTAATAATTTCCTAATCTGTCCTAGTATTATTACTTTCTATTGAATGTCACATAAAATAAAAGAAAAAATATACTTTACAAGCAGCATTAATAAAACTAAAATAATAAAATTTAGATTAAAAATATTGATATAATCTTTTTCTTTCTGGTACCAATTATATTTGAGCATAACTCTATGAATATTGAAGATACGAGGAAAATATTGCAACACATTAAAATAGCTTCAAATGTTCTAAATAATTTGACCATTGTTAGTAAATTAATTTTTCTCTATGAACTCATAAATAAATGTTAATACTTTCGCATTATATTAATAAGTTTAGGGTAAATTAATAATTGTCCTCGATTATGAATCTATTAGCTTATATTCAATAATTATGTTGATCTGGTTATTTTTGCGAATCTCGACTTGTGCACATCTTGGTAACATATCACTATATCCCACCACCTTTAAAATTGGTCCATTCTGGAAAATAATTTTTGCTATATAATTTAAGTTTTATAAGTGGATGCCAAACGATTTTACCATATTAGATGACCAAATTCTTCATAAAAATTAATTCGGATAATACTTAATAATCAGTTAGGAACAGTACGTAAAGATTTAACCCTTATTAACTTTAAATAAGCAATGCTTACAAAAACGGACATTTTGTGAAAGGTTTGAATTCAACTAGACATTCTAAGAACGTTCTTCCTGTATGCCTTTAGACCGGTTCTTCAGAAACTCTATAGTTTGACCAGTCATTTGTAAGTAATATCCTGCATTAATTATTTAATGTTGTATATAAATGGGCCAATCGTATGCCGTTAAACAGGAAACATCCGTCATCTTCTGGAAAGATCTCTTCATTCTTCAGTTTCTTACGAAATGAAAATCTGCCCAAAAATTTTATCTCTAGAGATTCATCAAATCCAATAACTCTTTGTATCTACAACAAATG